TTGTTTGGATTGTTGAATTGAATCTGCTAGATTTAATAAGTATGGGATCATTGAATTGATTGAGTTGGTTTAATTGTTTTATGCTTTCCGCCTGTTGTATTGATCCAATTGAGGATTATTATCTGTGATGATAATAATCTAAAGAGAAATTTTTAAATTTTTGGGTCGGATCGTTTCAATTACAATAAATTCTTAGTTCATTATCAAGTAACGTTAAGATGATTTTAACATAAGAAGCAATAAGATATGGATATGTATAGATCACATGCATCAATTGTGATAGGATGATACGAAAATGTAAAAGAGTGAGAGCACATGGGAAACATACCATTGAAGGTCTCATCATTTGATCGAAATTTATGTAGAATTGGAATTAAGAGAATAATGTATTATTTCTATTTTTTGTATTTTGATATATTTCTTATTTTAATTAGGATTAGGATTTTCTAGGGATTTATGGTTTTTTTTATAAAATAGATTAAGGATCCGCATATATGTGGGTTTTGTAATTTGATCTCTTATAAACCTATGTAAATTATTTAATTGTATAAAGAAATATTATATTACCCGTTAAAATAAATAAAATAAAAATGAAAACGTTGTTATAAAACCACTAATTAAGAAGCATAAAATTAATTTATTAATTTTGATACTTTTGTAAATTGATTTAGAATTAAAATTTATTATATATTTTCAAATTATTAGGTTTCTTATTCATATTTAAATTAAGTGTACTTTTTTATTTTATTACTCAAATATATCCTTTTTAAAATGTCGATAATTTTTTTCATACTTGTATTTGAACTATTTTCATTTTCTAAATATTTTATAACCCCCGTAAAACAAATCAAATACGAAAAAATCGGAAGACAAAATTAGGTCATCTCCATGAAGTGATAAAATAAAATTGAAAATATTAGTAGAAAACTACTTATAGATAATTCTATCAAATATTCTATTTTATTCTCATATTTATTTCTTATATTATTTGATATTCAATTAAATTATTTCACATATTTTCAAATAATTAGATTTCTCTAATCTTATTTAAATTAGGTTTACTTTTCACTATA